TGTGGCGTGTAGTGAAGGGCCGGACGTGCCTGAGGTCTGAGGCCGGAGGAAGGAGCAGCTGCTTGGCCAGCTCAGTGCCCTGGGCTGGGAGAGGCAGAGTCGAGGCCCTGGGGGATGCTGGGGGGAGACCGCTGGGGGGACAGAGCTGGCGTTTCAGTTGCTGCCTCGGATGCCGTGTGCAGGCACTCTGGTAAACAGTTCTAGTTCTGCCAATGTCCTCAGGGCAGGGAGGACAGGAAGGAAGACCGACCACTCAGCTTCATCCAACAGGACGCTGCTCGTGGGCATTTTCGAGCTGGTCCTGACTCGGGCTCCATTTTCCTGCTGGTTACAGTGGGTGAGGCTGAAATTTGGGGGACATAGATCTAGGCGTCCTTGAGCTCACGGTTGGGGGAAGCGGGATGGAGGGATGTGCAGCTCGGGAAGCTCAGGACCCTCCTTTACATCACCAGAACTGGGGGACTCATCATGGCATCCCCCTTCTCCTACCTTCAGTCCCAGGATGCCCTGCTCAGACCACGGGGGCCAGTGCTGCTCCATGGGTGCCAGGCCTGCGAGGCGCCCCAGGGAAAGGGAGGTTCACCACTGGTCGAGTTTGGGAAGCCCCTGTGTGAAGAGCCACATTGTCCAGTAACACCCTTTAAAGGCCCCTGAGAAGTCCTGCAGTAAAGAGACTTATCCGACTTTGTTTAACCGGGGGTGGGCAAATTTTTCTCTAAAGGACCAGACCGTAAACACGTAAGGCTTTGCCAGCCATATGCTCTCTGTCCCAACTACTCAGTTTGGCTGTCTTCTTGTCAAGCAGCATGGCTGATGCCTAAATCAGCGTTCTGATAAACTTTATTTGCAGACAGAAGGTGGGTTGGATTTGGCCTGTAAGCTGCAGTTGACTGACCTCTGATTTTAAATCATCATCTCCCTTCACCCTTCCCTCTTCTCCGCTCCCCTCCATCCCTCTCCCCACGATGTTTTATGAAGCGCCAGTTATGTGCTGAGAGGCTGTTTGAGCACAGCCACTTATTTTCGAGTCGGGGTAGTTATGTCTCATGCATGGGATCTGTTTTTTAAGCTACTGTGTCATCCACAACATGAATAATTCAAGACCTCCTTCCCGCAGCCTGGATGAAGGGCAGGGCATGATTATTCACTAGCTGGGCGGGGGGTGGGGGGGGGGCGCCGCCACCAGCAGCACAGAAAGCCCAGTTTGTGACCCGTCCCGCCCGCAGGATTGCGGTTACGCAATTCTTGATTCATTTTGAACATCTGAAAGGAGAGATTTGCATTATTTTCAATTTCGCACAAAGGGAGGCTCTCTTAACATTTTGATGCCACATTTTCTCCCGAATTTAAATCACCCGAAATATGCCCGTTAGCTCCCCAAAGGCCGTGGGTCCCATGGCACCCTTTTTGGGGACCAAGAATGTGGCTTTTCACAGGGAGCAAGGCCTCCGCAGTGGCTTCTGCATGGGACCCTTGCTCCCGTGACCTCCCAGCCCGGAGAGTCTAGCGCTGCGTCCAGACTTGGACGAGCCCGCACGCCGGTGGCTGTCGCTTTCTCTTTCCTGCTCTTCTCTCGAGTGTAGCCCGGCATCTCGGAACAGCCTCGGGGGACCCCAGAGCAGGGCTGCGTCCTAGGCCCCTGGGGCCCTCGAGCTTATCTTTGCCATGGACTGGCTTGCTGGGCTAGGTGCTCCCTGCCTCTTCACCACTGCTGAGTCGAGTGCCTTAGAAAAGACCTAAGAAAGTTCCAGTATTGACTTTTATCTCATTTCTTTTCATTACAGTCTGCCTATGGCTAAAGCAAAGAGGAATGGCTGTCCTGAAGGTCCTCTGGGCCTCGGTTCAGGTGTGCAGAGGGCTTTCCGGGGGCGTGGCGCCGGCTGGCAGGTGAGCTCTTAGACATCATCGGCTGAGACTCTGACGTGTGCCAGGCACCCAGAGCCTCTCCTCTTTCAGTCCTTACTCTGTAATCCGACAAGTGAGATTTCGTTGTCCCCATTTTCCGGATGAGGAAGTCAAGGCTGAGCACAGCTAGGTGGCTTTCCCCAGTCCGCATGGCTAGAGAGCTCCAGAGCCAGGGAGGGGGCTGCAGACCCCAGGGCCGCAGACCGCAGGGCCACAGACCCCAGGGCCGCAGACCCCAGGGCCACAGACCCGTACTCCTTTGTGCTCCTTCGGGCACCGGCGAATGTGTTTGCTGCTGTTGGACCACGCAGTGATGTCCTGCCAGGCCCTCTGTGGACCCGGGTCTCAGCCTGGGATTGTGGCAAACGCCACTCAGTAATCATAATTTCCTACAGTAATAATAATGCCTCCGTCTAACCCTGCCTGGCAGAATCGTAAGCACTTCCGCATCGGGGGGGACCGCTGACGTTTCTGCCTGTCCAGCAGCTAAGACCCATTCGTTGCGGATGGCCCCTTAATTTTCCTTTGGGGAACCCCTCACCCTCCCTCACATCACAGGAACTGGTTCGGGAACAGGGGTGTTGTCCAAGCTCATCCAGGGAGACCCCAGTCTTGGAAGTTTTAGTGAAAGGAGTCACTTGCTTTTTTGATGGGGGGGATGTTGCTAGACTGGCAGAACCTAAGCCTAAAGTTCTGGGACTGTCGTTGCCACCTGTTGGAGAGAGCCTGCCAGGTACGCATTGCTTGAGTACCTGGATCCAGCTGTGCCTGAAGCAGTGCCGTGAGCCTTTGCGTTTTAGGAGACAGCGTCTTTTCTCTTCTGCTTGAGCTTGCTCGTTTGGGTTTTTGTCCTTTCTGTGCAGTGGAGTCCTGAGTTGTATGATCTCCACTGACGGGCGCCATTGTAGCCTGGCGGTTAGGGCAGATTATGGCACCACAGTCAACTCTGCTATCGACAAGCTGTGTGACTTTGGGCAAGTGATTCAATCTCTCTGTGCCTCGGTTTCTTCATCTGTATGATGGATTGTGACGGTGCCCGCTCCTTACAGGGCTGTGGTGAAGGTTAAGTGCTTGGCACATAGCGTCAGCACAATAAATGTTAGCTGTTATTATCCATCATCTTTTAAAAAATTGTCCTGGTGTCCCCAGAGCAGATATGAACACTTAAATTTTATAAATGAAACACCTAAGGGTCTCTTGAGCACCCCAGGCTGGGGAATGCAGAACTTGGTCTGCTCTCGACTGGCTCTGTGGTCTTAGCAAGTTAGTTATTCATCCTCGCCGGGCCTTGATTTGCTTGTCTGTGCAATGGGCACCGCCAGAGTGTCCACCCTGCAGACCATTCAGTGAGATACTGTGTGTGAAGCGCTGAGCCCTGCATCTGGCACAGGGTGATGCTGTGCAAACGAGAGATTATGACTAACAATAGCACTGCCACGTTTACTGTTATTAAATGTGATTTCCACAAGAGTCCTGCCCTGATGGCGAGCGTTCTGGCATCGTGGAGGACTGGCAGGAAGCAGAGCACGGGCTGTGTGCCCTCAGTCCCAGCACGGAGAGGGTGCTCCATCACCCTGGGGGCCCTCACCCTGGATCAGGACCTCCTTGACTCTCTATCTTGGGCAGAAGTGAACTCTTGTCTATACGCCCAGATGCACCGAGCTTCAATAAAATATGATAAACTCTGTCAGTGGGAAGGGAATGAAATTTTATTTGGAGCGAAAATACATATTAAGATCGTTTTTTGTCATTTCCCCTCTCCAGATCTGATGTCTTCTCTTTGGTCCTTGAATAAGTAGTGACTCCAGAGGGGGTGGGTATTGTCTGCAATCGATTTACCCTAATTGGGTTCCTAGTCAACAACCTTTCAGATCGGAAAGGAATCGTGACGCGCAGAGGCTCTAGGCTGCAGCGCTGTCTAGTTTCACCTCCACGGTTTTACAGAGGGGAAATGGAGGCGGAGAGAGAGGCTGTGACGAGGTCCTGTAGCCACTGACTGGTCGAGCAGGGGCCAGAGCCCCAGGGAGTCAGACGATCCCACATCCTGCCTCGGCCATCTACATTAGAGGACAGGATCGGGCCATGTCCTAACTAGCTCTGTGACGTCGGACACTCTGGGACTCAGCTCCCCCATCGGTGAAAATGGAGAGATGGGACAAGGAGGGATCCGGGCAGCTTCGAACACCCTCTGCTTCCCTGTGGCGAAGCCAGTTGCCTATAGCACCTTCCCTCAGCCAATCGTCACCTGATACACTGAGCCACAGGGTGCCCGCTCAGAGCTTACCTGGGGCCTTTGGTGGCAGCTTCAGTGTCCTCTGACAGGGATGTAACGAGTGTTCACAATGGGGTATCGTGCTCTTCGTCAGGTCTGTGCTGTGGGTGCCCTTGCGGCCCTCTTCCCCGCTTTCCCTGTTATCCCCCCAGATCTCCATCCAGGGCGAACACAGGTCCTGGGTCCAGCTGGCCATGGGATGTCGGGCAAGCCAGTGGCTCTCCGAGCCTCCATTTTCTCAGCTCCAAGGTCATAGGAGGCCCCCCAGTGCAGGGGTTAAGTTCATAGGCTCTGACTGTCAGGGGCCCAGTGTGGACCAGCTAGTTCTTTGAGCAAGTTACTTGGCCCCTCTTCCTGTGACCAGGGCAAGGCCAAGGCAGCCAGGTGAGTGGCCCAGTCAGACCCAGGCTTCTCTTCCTCCCGAGAGCCACAGTCTCCGCGGAGGTGACCTCTTGTCTCCTTTCCCTGAGAAGCCAGGTCAATGGTCTGCAGCCCTGGGGACATCTGGGTGGCAGTTCCTTGCCGGCTGTGGCAGGATCAGCCTCGGGTCCCCGTGCCCTGTCGGTCAGGTTCGTCTCTCCGTTCTGCCCATCCCTGGGCACACAGCCAGCGCACATCTTCCATCCTGCAGGCTTGCTTTGGAATGATTACGTGTCATTAACAAATAAAATGTGTGGGTTTCTAACACACAGCTGTGTCTCTTTTCTTCTTTTTCCCTGTGAAACAAGTGTGAAAAGGCATCGTGGACTAATACGGATGAGATTCAAGTCCAAGTCCTGT